GAGGACGTGGCAGCGTGACCGTGGGTCGCTGTGCCTTTTCTCGTTATTTTTTTTATCCTTTATCTTTTCCTTTTGAATTTTTCATGTTTTAACCCTTCCTCCGCCCTACCCGGGGAGCGTGGGATGGGGACCCGGGAGTTGTCCCCGCTCTCCCTCCCCGGGGGTCGCTGCCAGCGGTAGGTGACCCCCCCCACACCCACCCGGGACAGACCCCTGCTATAGGGCAGGGTGCTATGGGGCAGGGTGCTATGGGGCCGGCCGGGACCCTCAGCCTGGCCGGGGTCCTCAGCCTGGCCGGGGTGCTGGCGGGGGACAACGGGGTGCAACCAGCCGGGACCCCGCTGACGCTGGACCTGGGGGGCACCGTCCCTCCCGGGTGGGATGCTCTGAGCCACAGCCGGGGCCTGGATGTGAGTGTGGGGGCTGCGGTGGGATTTGAGGGCGGGTGGGAGGGATGTGGGTGCCGCCAGGGTGGTGGGGTCCCATCCCGTCCCTGCGTCCCTTGTCCCTGCTATCGCAGCCGGGATCTCACTCGGATTTCCCTCCGCTGGTGGTTTTCTCCTCCGAAAACCTCGTCGCTTGCCAGGCCGGCGCTTTCCCGTGGCTGGGGTCGGGTGGGGGACGCGCTGCCGGGGACGGGGACAGGGATGGGGACGAGGGTTTTCACCCCCGCTGGCCTTGGCATAGCCCGTGACCCACGCACACGTAGCACAGATGGGGAAACTGAGGCAGGGATGACGGCGACCTACCGAAAGCAGCCTGGCAGCCGGGCAAGGGTTGCCCAATTTCAGCCCCTCGCCGGAGGGTGGTGGGGCTCTCGGGGTGGGGAATGGGACTCGGGGTGCCCGACCGAGCGCCCCACGCTCTACCCCCGCAGTGCTGGGAGGTGCGGAAACGCAACAGCTCCGAGTGGTGCCGCTTCGTCCGGAGCAACCCCGACTGCCGGCTGGAGGGTGGCTTCCTCGACTACCTCCAGGGGGTCTTCTGCGTCTTCCCCCCCCGCCTGCTGCCCCTGGCCGTCACCCTCTACGTAAGGATGGGAGCTGGGGCGATGCTGCTGGGGGACGCTCCGCTTTTGGGACGCGGGGACCCCACTGACCCCCCTCTCTCTACCATCCCTGACCCCACAGGCTCTCTGGCTCCTGTACCTCTTCATCATCCTCGGCGTGACGGCGGAGAAGTTGTGAGTAGCCCCGCAGGAGGAGGGGACCGTCCCCCAGGGTGAGCGGGGAGCCCCCGTGATCCCGGGGGAGCCCCGTCACCACTTCTCCACCTCCTTCTCTACCCTTCCAGCTTCTGCCCCAACTTATCGGCCATCTCCACCAACCTGAAGCTGTCTCACAACGTGGCAGTATCCTCGGCGGGTCACGGGGGACCTCAGCCAGGGGGGGATGCAAGGATGGAGCGGGCGGCCGTGACGGGGACATTTTTGTGTCCCCTCGGTACCCAGGGGAAACCGATTTGGGGCGCGAGCCGGTGACGGCGGTGGGGCGAGTGGAGGTGTGCCGGCACCGGGAAGGGGTCCCGCGGTGGCCGGAGCAGGCATGTGCCCTGTGTCCCCGTGGGGAAGAGGCCACCGGGTCTTTTCCTTGACGTCCCCTCTCCATGGTGTCACCTTCCTGGCCTTTGGCAACGGGGCACCCGATGTCTTCAGCGCCGTGGTGGCCTTCTCCAACCCGCGGACGGCGGGGCTGGCCATCGGGGCCGTTTTTGGTAAGGAGAACCCCACTGGGGGTTGCTTGGGGTTGAGGGTGATGGGTGGGGGGGACATGTTGTGGGACTGTGGGATGTTCCCCGCCTTGAGAGGGACCTGTTGGGTCGGCAGGCGCCGGAGTGTTCGTGACCACGGTGGTGGCTGGGGGTATCGCCCTGGTCAAGCCCTTCACGGCCGCCTCCAGGCCCTTCCTCAGGGATGTCATCTTCTACATGGTGGCCGTGTTCTTCACCTTCGTGGTCCTCTACTTCGGCAGGATCACGCTGGGAGAGGCTCTGGGTGAGCATCAGGGAGGGGTTGGGGCTGGGGGTGGTGGGAGCAGCCTGGGGGTACCGTAACCCACCCCCCCACATCGCTTCCCCCCATCCCAGGTTACCTGGGGCTGTACGTCTTCTACGTGTTCACCGTGGTGCTCTGCACCTGGATTCACCGGCGGCAGCGGGGGGAAGGGCTGGCCCCCCCCGGACCCTGGGAACCAGGTAAGGGCCACCCGGCTGTGCCGACGGGACCCCCGGCGTGCTGGGGTCTCCCTCTACCCCCTCACCTCCTCTCCTCTTCCCCCCAGAGATGCCGACAGATGCTGAAGAGCAGGAGTCCTCCGGCACAAACAGCGGAGACTACGGTATGGTGTTCCCGGTGGGCTCGGGGCCGGCTCCACTCTGTCCTCGGGGGTCCCAGGGACCCCCGGGCTGCTGCATGTGTGACCGAACCCATGGGGCGGCCGTGGCCAGCGGGGCAGGGGGATCCCCTTGGGGCTGCACAGGCAACCGCAGCCCCGTACTGGAAGGGCTGGGGAGGGGGACTTGGGGGGCCGGGGAGCCCCCCGTCCCACTCAGCCACCGCGGCCCCTCGCAGGCGAGGAGTACCGGCCCCTCATCCCTTCCCGGGAGACTTCCCTGCGGATTCTCACCACTGCCCTCAGCCCCTTGGACTACCTCAAGTGGAGGAGGAAGCCCTGGTACTGGCGGCTCTTCAAGGTCCTCAAGGTGAGTGTGGGGGGGATACGAGCTGGGAGGAGCCCCCCCCCGTACAGGGCATCCCCCTCGCTGCTGGCCCCTGGGGCTGCGTCACCCCTCGGCTTTGCAATGGGGACGGTGGTCCAAGGGCAGGCGGGTGGGGGGACAGGTCATGGGACACCTTTTGGGGTGTCCCGTCTTGGGGGTCCCCACTTATGGCTGTTTCGCCCCAGGTGCCCGTGGAGCTGGTGCTGCTGCTCACCGTTCCTGTCGTGGATCCCGACAAGGATGACCTGAACTGGAAGAGACCCCTCAACTGCCTCCACATCCTGACCAGCCCCCTGCTCTGCATCCTCACCCTGAAGTCAGGCGCCTGTAAGAGCCCTGGGAGCTCTGGACATCCAGAGGGGACGGGACTGAGACGGCCACCAAAGCCCTGGGGACTGCAGAAGCCCTTCGGAGCTGGCACCCCATCTGGGGAGGGGAGGACAGGCCAGCGAAGAGCCAAGCCGGGGGGGCTGGTTTACAGCTGGATGTCTCCGTCCTTCCCTGGGGGTTTGGCCCCCCCCAGCACCCAGGTCCTGGGAGAAAAATGGGGCAGGCCTCGCCTGTCTGGGGAAACTGAGGCACGGAGGGGAGCAGCACCATGAGGGCTTAGGGTAGAGGTGGCTTTAGGGGACAAGCCTGGTCAGATCCTGCCCCAGCCCACATGGTGCCTTGCAGGGCTGCTCTGATGCTCCCTCTCTATACCATGTGCAGATGGGCTGTACCAAATCCAGGGCATCTTCCCAGTCTGGGGACTGGTCACACTGGTTGGCTCTGTCCTGGCCGTCATCACCTTCATCACCACAAGCAACGAGGAGCCACCCAAGTACCACTGCGTAAGGTGCCCCCCAGCCCCAAATGCCCACCGGTGACCAGCGCAGCCCACTCTGGACTGGGCTGAGAGTCCTGGGGGCAGAGCAGGAGCCAGGACCTCCTTCCCGGTCACCAATGTCCCCAGGAGGGACACGGCTGGCTGGAGGTGTGCGGGGTCCTGCGGGACGCACCGGCTTACCCCTCTGCCCGGCAGGTATTTGCCTTCCTCGGGTTTTTGGCCAGCGCCATGTGGATCAATGCCGCGGCCACGGAGCTGGTGAACATCCTCCGGACCCTGGGCGTCATCTTCCAGCTGAGCAACACCGTGCTGGGCTTGACGCTGCTGGCCTGGGGCAACAGCATCGGGGGTAAGGGCCGTGCCGTGCCCCAGTGCCACCCCAGGTGCCCCCGTTCTCCTGGCATCCCCCAAGTTCTCCCCTTCTCCCTCTGCAGATACCTTCTCCGACCTCACCATGGCACGGCAGGGCTATCCCCGCATGGCCTTCTCCGCCTGCTTCGGGGGCATCATCTTCAGTATCCTTTTGGGTGCCGGGGGGAGGTGGTGGTGGTACTTGGGGCAGGGGCTGCCTCGGTTTCCCTGCGTGCAGCCCAGGGAGAGCCCCCTGCTCCTGGGGTATCCCTGGGAAGGAGCTGGGCAGGATCCACCCCAGAGTCCCTGGGATTTTGGCAACCTCCCCAGTGCCTGCACAGTGCTGGGGGGGACTGGCGTGGTATTTGTGAACCGCAGGAGCTGCAGGGATGGAGCCAGCAGCATCCCCCCCCCCCATCCCCACTCCTGTCCCAGCCCCAACAGGGGGGGGGTTTGG